TTCCGTGCATCTTACGTCATCGCAAACGTGCACGACGCATGATAGAAAACAGAACGCGGGTCAATATATTGTGTTTTTTTATTTTATTTGGTGCTATTATGCACAGCTGAGTGAACAACACCGGTTTACTGTGTGTCGCATTTGGCTTTTTGCTGATTGCAAACGCAGGAGACAGTGGATTTCCATTAATTTGTTGCCCTGAGTCCACGCGCTATGTGTGTGCGAATACAGACTCACTCTCGCTCTTCTCCAAGGTAAATTTATCAACTAGGGGTGGAACGGTACATGTATTCGTATTGAACCGAAACGGTACGGGCGTCACGGTTCGGTGCACGAATTTACACGGAGAATACACGGTATAAAAATAAATAAAACTTGCGTGCAAAATAATTAATGTAATGCGGAACTACTGTTAGAAACGCGGGTTCTTTAGGGACACATAATCTGTACCATCGGCTTAGCTCTGAACGCGCGTTCACTTCAAACGTTGGCTTTATACGCGCGTCCTATTCGCTTTGGACTAGCGACAAACTAGATGCGAATTTGACGCTCTATTCGCGTTTGGTGTGACCGCATAATGAAGTTGCAGGCTGCGATGTCAAGATTGCGATGCTGGAGTGTGTGTGTGTGTGTGTGTGTGCGCGAGAGAGAGCCGCGATCGAACTGTGGAAACATAAAAAACATACTCCGTCATTTTTTTTCATACAGATCATTAAACCTGCAAAGTGATTACTTATATTTGTGTACACTCGCAATAAAACACAACATTGTGCTTTTGTCACACTGTAAACTCTTGTCAAACTGCAGAGGTGGAAAGAGTAATAAAATATTCTACTCAAGTAAAAGTACTACTACTTCAATTAAATTTTACTTAAGTACAAGTAAAAGTACCGGTCTAAAAATCTACTCAAGTAAAAGTAAAAAGTAGCTCATTTAAAATTTACTCAGAGTAAAAGTTACTGAGTAACTTTTTTAACAGCGTGGGTGGGGGACTCTCCCGTGTAGGGTTGTAATGGTATGAGATTTTCACAGTATGATAACGTCATTAAATAAATAAACTGTATTGTTAAATTATGGGTATTATTATTATTATCATCAGTTAAAATGACAGTTAAATTAATGAAAACAGGATTTTTTTTTTGGATGAACAAATGCTTTTATTATAACAAACTTCAATAAAATTTCAATAAAACATGTCTAATCAATTACATTTGATAATTGATAATGAATTAGATGAACAACTTATTTTTAACATTAATAATTTATTAAAATGTTTAAGAAAAATATTGTCCTATGAAATGTATTTTATTCAGAAAATTAATGTTTCTTTTTATGATTTAATCCAAATATATTATCAAAAACGGTTGTAATCAATTGTAAATTTAAAATTGTGTCCTTTAATTTTTTGGGGAAGCGCTGCAAAAACAGATTTACTAAATTAAACCATGGACAAAAAATATTTTCCTTTAAATAATGTTTAAATAAAATGTATTATTATTGTTGTTATTATTATTTAGAGAAGTAGGCTACGTTCTATTGTATGCCTATAATAGTAATATATGTCTGTTCTAATTTCTCCTATAAACCAAACTTTTATTTTGACGGGTTGTAGTGAAGACCAAAAGTGTAAAAAAGTGTTTCAAAGTGTATTTGACAATGGTTTATCTCAAATAAAATTATGAAAATGCTCATTAGGCATTCTCTCAGAGCAGCTCTGGAAATGTTCATGTATTCATATCCTCAAATTGTTTGTGAGACTCTGAATGTCACGCGTACTTGAGTTTGTAGTAGCCTAGACAAAGCAGCGCAGCTCAGCAGAACAAATAGGGTTATACACTCACCTAAAGGATTATTAGGAACACCATACTAATACTGTGTTTGACCCCCTTTCGCCTTCAGAACTGCCTTAATTCTACGTGGCATTGATTCAACAAGGTGCTGAAAGCATTCTTTAGAAATGTTGACCCATATTGATAGGATAGCATCTTGCAGTTGATGGAGATTTGTGGGATGCACATCCAGGGCACGAAGCTCCCGTTCCACCACATCCCAAGATGCTCTATTGGGTTGAGATCTGGTGACTGTGGGGGCCATTTTAGTACAGTGAACTCATTGTCATGTTTAAGAAACCAATTTGAAATGATTCGAGCTTTGTGACATGGTGCATTATCCTGCTGGAAGTAGCCATCAGAGGATGGGTACATGGTGCCCATAAAGGGATGGACATGGTCAGAAAAGATGCTCAGGTAGGCCGTGGCATTTAAACGATGCCCAATTGGCACTAAGGGGCCTAAAGTGTGCCAAGAAAACACACCAACATACAATGGTGTGTAGTGCCACACCATTACACCACCACCACCAGCCTGCACAGTGGTAAGAAGGCATGATGTATCCATGTTCTCATTCTGTTTACGCCAAATTCTGACTCTAACATCTGAATGTCTCAACAGAAATCGAGACTCATCAGACCAGGCAACATTTTTCCAGTCTTCAACTGTCCAATTTTGGTGAGCTCTTGCAAATTGTAGCCTCTTTTTCCTATTTGTAGTGGAGATGAGTGGTACCCGGTGGGGTCTTCTGCTGTTGTTGCCCATCCGCCTCAAGGTTGTGCGTGTTGTGGCTTCACAAATGCTTTGCTGCATACCTCGGTTGTAACGAGTGGTTATTTCAGTCAAAGTTGCTCTTCTATCAGCTTGAATCAGTCGGCCCATTCTCCTCTGACCTCTAGCATCAACAAGGCATTTTCGCCCACAGGACTGCCGCATACTGGATGTTTTTCCCTTTTCACACCATTCTTTGTAAACCCTAGAAATGGTTGTGCGTGAAAATCCCAGTAACTGAGCAGATTGTGAAATACTCAGACCGGCCCGTCTGGCACCAACAACCATGCCACGCTCAAAATTGCTTAAATCACCTTTCTTTCCCATTCTGACATTCAGTTTGGAGTTCAGGAGATTGTCTTGACCAGGACCACACCCCTAAATGCATTGAAGCAACTGCCATGTGATTGGTTGATTAGATAATTGCATTAATGAGAAATTGAACAGGTGTTCCTAATAATCCTTTAGGTGAGTGTATTTACATGCAGTATTTTTGTGCTAAGCTTAAATATTCACAGACCATGTCGCGATTGGATTTATTGCACAGTTCTACTTTCCATGTATTCATCCATCCATTATTTTGCGTGTTTTACGTGACATCTGCGTTATGTAAATTTCATTTTCATGACTGGATTCCGGGGTTCCCTCTGCATCACGTACATCGGGACATACCTTTATCTGCAGGAGGGATGGTGTCCTATATCCTCCTTTTGCAGCCACTTTGCGTCCACATTTTTTGCAAATTGGATATCTATCCTCGAGGACAACCACGCTTTTTTTCAACAACGTATTTTCATACTGGCCATAATTCGCTTGGCGCTTCGGTTTCAGCTTCAGCTGGTTCTGCGTCACCTTTTTTTGCGCGTTTGTTCTCCCGCCCTTCAATCAATGCAGTAGTTTCCGAAGTGTTTTTTTTTTTTCTTTTCTTCTTGTATTATTATTTTTTACTCAGTAACGGATATGATTTAAAATGTAGCGAAGTACAATACTTCAAAGAAAACTTACTTAAGTAAAAGTAAAAGTACAGATTTTAAAAACTACTTAAAAAAGTAGAAGTACACAAAAAAACTACTCAATTACGTAACGCGAGTAAATGTAATTCGTTACTTTCCACCTCAGTCAAACTGTCACTCAACCACACACACACACACACACACACACACACACACACACACACACACACACACACACACACACACACACACACACACACACACACACACACACACACACACACACACACACACACACACACACACACACACACACACACACACACACACACACACACACACACAGTTTTAAAAGCAAAACCTATTTATCCAACTCCATTTCAAAACAGTCTTTGGGTTCCATCTTTTGGACATTCATCATATTGCATTGGTTTTCATTTCTTGTCCTCGGAGCGCTAATCTTACACATTCTACATTGATTAAAAAAGAAAATTGAATGTGTTTTTAATGGTAGTATTATTTTATACAGAAATCAATTATTTATAATTCAGATGAGAATAATGTTACATTGTTAATTAATAATGTTAATTAAAATTAAAGACAACAAATATATTGATCTGAAATAGCAAATTAAGTTTAAATTCATTCAGGTACAATTACCAAACATCTCGCAAGGTCTTTTTGTCTTTTTTATTAATTTATTTAATAAACTAATTATATAAAACTATTGTCAGTGCACTACAAATAAACTGGTTCAATGCCTTTATTAATAAAACTTATTTAAAAAATACAATACCTTCTGCATTTTTGTTTTGCTTTTCCCTCCATTGTACCGAAATCGTACCGAACCGTGATGTCTGAACCGAGGTATGAACCGAATCGTGACTTCTGTGTACCGTTCCACCCCTATTATCAACACTATCATCCCTTACATGTGTTTTATTTAACCTCTTAACCAGCGCCCCTATTTTTGAGAATTTTCTGAAAACGACATACCCAAATACAAATCTCTGTAGCTCTTGAACCCTATGGTCCACCTTCATAACTCTGATATTTTTTTAAACTAGACACTTGAAACTTTGTTACCCAAGAGTCATTATAACTCAAAGTAGCATAGGAACAGAGTAAAACAAGGTAAAATATACATGAAATTGACTCACGATTTCTTTGAATAAACTTCATTTAGGGGAAAATGTATCAGAATTTTATGTTAAGGGCCTGAAAACACCATAAATATAAAACTGAATGTCTGACCATGTTTTGATTCAAATTTGAGGATGATACTCCCAAAAATGTAGTTCCTGTAAGCTTTTATTCAAGAAAAGTCTAGGCGTCCTATCCAAAAGGCCACTTGGAGACTCCAAATGGACACCTGGTTACCAAATGACACAAGGAGTAAACACTACATAATACATACATGTTTATCCATTCAGAACTATTCTGCCCATCAAACTACACAAGAAAAAATGATTTCAGCACAACATTTTAACATTTTAACAAAATACTCTTTATTTTGAACATTTATAATAGCAAAAACAGTGGGGAAAAAAACTCACTTCATTTATACATTCCAAAAGTGATTGTTTTACTAATGAATAAAATATATAAAAAGAAAAAAAATAACATTTGTAATTGCAACAGTGCCTGTACCTGTACCTTACTCAAATAAATTACAATAAACAATTACAATGAATATCCAATTACTAAAACAAAAAGCAACCGCTTCCTCTTCCTCTCCCCTTACCTTTACCTGTACCTGTACCTGTACCTGTGCCTCCCCCTTACCTTTACCTGTACCTGTACCTGTACCTGTACTTCTGCCTCTGCCTCTGCCTCTGCCTCTGGTAGCTGAAGCAGATTCAGATGGAGATGCAGAAGATGACGATGACTGCCGGCGTCTCCTTTGTCGCTCATGACTGGACTCCGGATTCCATTCCTCATCTGATTCAGTTGAAGGCCTATTTTACAGCACAGGAAAACACACTCACAAACACACAAAAGAGGATTTCAGTTTGAGTCACATTCATCTATTAGCAGCATCAATATTCCATCTTATTACAATATCAAATGTCACATACCTTATCATTATAATGACCAATATTAAAAATGCTTAGTAATTATTATTTTTTTCTATATATATAATTATATATATATTTATTATATCTTCACCTGACATCTTGTACTCCTTTCCTTCCATTATATTTATATTCAATGCACCATTCATTCATATAAACGTATCACTGTAATCTCATATCTTGCTAGTCATCTCCACTGTTATTTTATAATCAACACATCTTCTCCTGACTTCTTATAATCCTTTTCTTCCATTATTGTTATATTTAATGCATCATAAATATAATGTGTGTGATATAAATATTTTCTCTTTATGTAACGTTATAATATACATCTCTATCACCTGCTCGTGTAGCCTCTGTCTTTGCTAGTAGCTAATGTCCATCGTCATTTTATAATCAAAAACATTACATGAACAGAAAAACTGCCAATAATAAACATAACAATTAATGAAAATGTGTTGAAACTTACCGATCTAAAACGGGATCGAGTCCATGAACAAACATCTCCTCTTCTGCCGAATCGACGACGCTCGACACCGTGCTCTCTCTGTCTGAGATGCATCTCTCTGCGTCTTTCTGCTGCTCTTCGTCGCTGCTTCTCATCACTTCCTCCAAAATACTCTCAACACCACAAAAACCCTTCTGTAGACGACGATCCATGATGGAGATTGTCAAATATAACTTTGGAGAAAATCTATGAGTTGATACGAGCTCCGTGTTGCAAACCAATACCTAGCCTATGCGCTCTGTGCGCAAAATGGCGGAAGCGCACGAACGAACGACAACATTGCGCACTTGTATTTGACAAATCTGCTTGAGAACTGTCAATCACTGCAATCGTGTTTTAATTGGTTAATACTCACATCCATCAAAACATTGCCGATTACACATTGGCTGGCTTTATCCAGACTTTATCCAGTCAAAAACCGAGATGCAAGATTGACAGGTTTCTAAGCCTGTCAGGCGGTCCCTTGGCATTTTGATCGATTACATAGCCTGTGATTGAAGCAGAGAGAAGGGGGATGACTCATTTCATCCGGAAGAGTCTAAACTACAGGGGTGAGATGGCTTTTGAGTGTTGGAATATGGATTAGAATCGATATTTCTTTGAAAATGAACATGATGCGAACTCTATCTCGAAAACGCTCATGTAAACAAAGGAGGATATTTCATTTTTTTCCCTATTTTTCGTTGTTTTGGATTAAAAAGTGGGATGCATTTTGAAGAGTGGACCCTTACATTGAAATGTATGCTGTTGTTTCTTGGATTCTTCCGAACTGATCTGAACCATACGAGATGAAAGATGAGTATAGCGGTTCATTTTGCTCATTTTCAAATGAGCAGTCCTTTTGCATTTAATTTAACCCTTTCCTCTCTGGTGTATTGATTGCAAAAACAAGTTTAGAACACGATTCTTGAGTGTTTTAGCTTTCAAATGATGTATAGTTTATGATAGTCAGATGAATATTTGTTATAAAACAAAGCTTAAAAAGGGTAATAAAAGTATAGCCACGCCCTCGACGGCCCGGCCACGGGCCGGTGCGGGTTAAGAAGTTAACTAAATACATCATAATCAGCTAAAAAGAATGCGCAGGTCACTTCCTGAACAAGTGCGCACCCGAGTCCGTGATGCTTTCACATTCACGCGAGCCGCGGCACGGTTCGAGTGCAACCGAACTCAGCGCACCTCCTCCAGCCAGTCTCGGGTTTGGTACCCCAGTGCGCACCCGGGTCCGCATGACAGACAGTGTTTACATAATTAGCGATTTTTCATGCGAACCGTTCCCGTTCCGTTCCGAGTTGGTGTGAAAGCACCCTAGACTTTTCAAGTAAGCTGTTGAAGTAGCCTTTTGTACACGTTAGCGCCTGTTTGTTTACGTTAGTAACTGCTAGCTTGGAATTCGCCGACTAAGGGTACATTCACACTGGCAGTTTAGTTCGGTGACTAACTAACGTTAGCCCAGTGCATAACTAACGTTAGCCCAGTGCATAACAACAATCGTTTGTACGCAGGGCCGGCTCTAACCCTTTGGTTGCCCTAGGCGATATTGAGTATTGAGTTTGAAAACTAAAAGCTCCAACCCATATTCAGTGTGCAAATTGAACAAATAAAAATTCAAACCTCTTTTAATTACAGTGTCTGTCTACATTACACTACTACATAATAATAGATATAATATTAATCCCATGACAGTAATAGCCATAGGTATATATTGTAAAACAAATGCACTGAAAAATAAAGGAAACTTTCATAAGTATTGTACAAATTTCTATACTTGAAAGAAAGTTATATATTTGGAAGTAACCCAGCGCCGCCAATTAAGCAAAACAAAACAAAACGAATGGGCCACCGATGAAGGCCAACGAGTTTTATGGGCCGTTAAAACAAAAATAGAAAAATAAAAAAATAAAAGTAGGCTATGTATCGGCTAGGGATGTGAATTTCTGCCAAAAATGACATTCGAAAATCGAGGAGCAAAAGTCGATTATCGTTCGAAAATCGAAAAAAAAAATCAACAACAAAAAAACGCACACTCACAATGACAGAAAGGGAGGCCAATTTCATCTTTAGCGATTTGTCATCAAACAAACTGTTTATTATTCGAACAATTAACATGTTTTCGTCGTTTTTTTTAACATACCGTAGTTAACATAGAAGAAAAAAACAATAAGCATGACAGTCCGTTTTTGCATCGCCAAACCAGATGCCCGTTAGATAAAAAAAATAATGTCCAAATGATTTTATGCAAACCTGTCTTGTTACTGCAAAAGCCTACTTTTTAAACAAATTAGTTTCAATCAGAACTGGTGTGATGCCACTGCGCAATACACACACACATTACCGCGGGATGGCGGGTGTTCATTTCATAAACTGTGGACAATGGTAGCTTATTTAATGTAGCCTATAAATGAATGTATATGTCCAAAAAACGGATAATGTCATCATACTTGTAGTGCTATCGTCGTGTAATAATCTGTTTGGTTGTAAAATGTATTACCTGAATGAAATGAACTAGAATGTATCGTCCTGTGGAATCATTCATTCACAGACATCATACGAAGATGTTCAACTAGATCTTCATCGCTGGCAAAAATATGATGCATTTGCCGATTTGCTTTCACTAGACTGTACTGTAGGTCCACGGCCACTTCATCCAACGCTCTTGATGTTCTTAAATCTTCCTGTTACGACTCCGTGTCGAGTGTGAATTGAAAGCGCTTCAGACGATTCAGTGCGCGAGGAACTGAACAGATCATTCAAACTGATTCGCGAACCGATTTAGACAGATCTGCCAACTTGTTTGATGAAGTCTTTGAACAGAATCGACTCAAAAGAGTGATTCATTTGTGAATGGAGCATCGCTCATGCCCATAAAAAAGACACAGCGCGCTTGGAATAAACTACGCATTTAACAACATGTATTGCATTAAAATAAAGTAACGAGAGGAACGTCGCCCAACGTAGTGAAGTAAATGTAGCCTACTTTGTTACTACCATAGACGGTTACTACCATAGACAGTAAAGGTTAGTCTACTACCCACCTCTGTTGGGCGCAGAGTTAACGGTCACGACAATGCTCTTCTTCTGTTGTTTGTTTACACTATGTATAAAACGCTGGTATCCTAGATCGCGCAGGAGGGGGTTTCATTCATGTTATTAGTGACACCTTGTGTCCCCGACAGGAAAATACCCTGCTGCGCGATCTGTGACAGTAGGCGCGCCGTCAATTATGTCACATTGGAATTGATTGAAAATATAACGATATTCGAATAAGCAATTTTATGATCGAATTTCGAACGCAGTTCGACTATTCGACTATTAGAAGATCGCGACTCATCCCTAGTATCGGCCCAAAAAGCACGTCGGCCCCGCGGGAATCTCCCGGTAGTCCCGATGGCCAGAACGTTTGACACCTTAATGGTTGAGATGAGAAGACTTACTTCTATACTGGGCTTTCTTTTTATCTTGTTGCTTTCTCCGTTTTCGTCCCTGTGCACCAGAGGGTTTAGGCCGCTTCATTTTCCATCAAAGCGCCAGCAGCTGAGCACTTGCCTAACGTAACCATAGAACGTAACGTAACGCAACTAACCCCCCCTTTAGGAAATGATCGACAATAATCATCCATTCAATCTAATAATCAGGTTGACAAGTAATTGAACGTATGGCTGAGGGGCGCCTTAGGATGTTTAATAAACATGTTTTTGTTTCCCTTGTCATTCTAATTCTGTGGGAAGTAGGCCAAGGGCGACACTAGAGGGCGCCCGTGCCCCCAACACATTTGTCGCCCTAGGCAACCGCCTAGTTCGCCTATAGCAATCGCCGGCCCTGTTTGTACGCATATGAGCGGATGCTGAAAATAGACAGGCGGCAAAACAAACACATTAATTGATACTCTTGCGGACGCATCGAATCGTCGGCTGTATAATCGATGCATCGATACGAATCGATTCATATTTACACTCCTAATAATCACGTGACTGAAACCCAGCTATTTTAGGCTGAATAATGGTATATTTATTTATTTATTAGAACTGGTTTAATAATTTCTTTTAATGTGCCATCAGGCTATATTGATATAAATGATATAGTCTCAATCTATATTGCTTTGGAAAATATATACATATTATCTTATCTTATAGATCTTATTGTCTATAGATGGGTTTCCATTTCTCAAATTACCCATTATCCTCTGCGGCGCGCCGCCATGTTGTGTGTCAAAAGCTGTCAAAAAGGGGAAAAAAATTGTATGCGTTTTAAATCCGTGTGTTATTCGTTCAATCACATTTTTGTCCCGCCAAAGTCTTATTTGATTGGGGAGTAATGTAGATGAACTGCTGCGCTTGTGACAGTTCGAAAGAACGAGTTACGAGCAGAAAGAAAGAGCCGGTTGCGCGCGCGCACTCCCTCTCTCGGAGCCAGGCAAAAGTCAGTTTTGAAAAGTGTAAACAAGACTTTCGCCGTCTCCAAACTAAGCGTTGTCTTGCTCTCACTCCCTCGTGGAAAAGTTAGTCTGGAGCCCTGCATTGACGGTTCACATGCTGTAGCCAGGCAGCTGATATCTGCACAGCCCTTATATATCTGGGTGAAAAAACAACAACAACACGCTCCGAACTAATTCAGTGAAGGAGAGAGAGATGGATAGCAGAGGCACGGAGCGATGTGCTTCAGGTGTAAGTTAGCCTCTGCCTCGTCCAGCTGATGTGGCCACAGAGCAAGTGATGAAGGTGGACAATCGTCAGAGTGTACTTCTGCCGAGCCAACACCTCTCAAGGTCTGTGTCGATAGTAGCCGCCTGGGTAACGTTACAGTGATTTGACACCCGATGAGCTAGCGCATTTAGCTAGCCCATCTTGGAAATGATTAGATAAAGTGTCACATCTCCAGAGCACTAAACCTCTTAATGTTCACAAGAGCAGCACTGAACATTAACTCCAGCCAAACGGAGAATAATGCCCAGTTTAATTGACGATACACAAGCTTTTAAAAAGTTCCATGAGAGCAACCAGGACAATAATATAAAGTGAACTGGGACAACGTCCTTTTGGCAAAAACAAATCAAACTAAACTGATGATAAATTGATGATAAAACCAGGCTCCCAGTCAGTGCTTTAAATTTTTACTGTTCAATGTAAGCATCAAAATAAAAATAGAAAATTTAAGCAGTTTTTTTATTTCCATCCCTTTAAAACTGCTGATAATGGATGGTAGGCGGATACTAGACTAGAAAATATAAAGATAAGGTATTAATATTATTATCAATGTGCATGTATAATTAAGGTTTAAAAGTCTGTAATGACCCATTGCTTCAGGATATTATAATTCTCCATAACACAAATGCTTGACACACAAGATGGCGCCGAAAGGACTTGCGGGAGAAATGTGACGTCATCGGAAACCTATCTATATTGCCCAGCTCTAATGTGCATCCAACCAAAAGAGAATGACTTCGTCACAATTACTGTAATTAAAGTTAAAAATTATGTCAATAATGCTTTCCTTATGCAATTTTTTTATTATTATTTGTCAGATACCGTGATGACCAACTTCCCAGCGACAACAGAGTTTGAAAACTTAACTTGTGCAGAATTGGCGCAAATGTGCATGGTTGCTAAAGGCCTAATCGGACGGGATTAACTTTACAAGGGAGGGTAGATGTAATATAATTTTACCACAGGACATCTGCAATAATAATAATAATGTCTAGTTCGCACGGGACAAGATATCTAAGTAAAACTAGCAGAAGTGTGAAGGGTAACTCGACCGACCTGCCTGTCGTCAGGTGTGAATTACGCTGCTTTCCTGACGTGCGCAATCACATAACCTATATTTATAAAAACAGTTATGTCCAGTCGAACAATGTATTAATTAACTTCAGATTGGATTGTGTAGCTAATAGTCACCTAACGCTAAAAGATGTTCTAGAACGCAACTGAATGCGTTTTCAAGCGTCTCCATACTTGAAAAACCGCGGAAAACTACTTTTAAACAGGAAATGACGAAATATTTACGTACATATCAC